GCCTGAAATTCAGGCTTTCGGCCTGAAGTTCAGGCTTTTGGCCTGAACGCTGTCGGGCCTGCAAAATGGCCCGTGTGTGCACGCGCTGCATGTAACAGTACCTTCTCAACAAATCTAGTGCCGTGTGGATTCTGAAGTCTCGGGCAACAAATTCGGCAGTGGCTTACTGTTCATGTATATGCCCGCTTCCTGCGTGACGTATGGTCCAGAATGGACCCGGATTCATGTATCAAGTCTGTATCCCAATGGAGACGAAGGTACACCATAGCCAGAGGTGTCTCCCATGTCGATTCCTCTCTCTCTTCTCAACCTCTACACCCTTCCTCCTCTGCCCTTCTTCAGAGCCTGGCATGGCGCACCTCACCCTCTACCTCCATAGCCTCTGCCCTTCTTCATAGCCTGGCCTGACATGCCTCATGCACTGCTACTACAAAGTAACTTCATAGACATGGAGGTATATTTCCTCACTCTCCAGCTCTACCGCTTAAGAAGATCTCAGCCTAACGTCACCCTTCTGGGCGGAGCAGCAGCATGACTGCTGGGTAAAGTGTTGGCTCACTCATTGCTGCTGAGCGGTATGTGCTTGTGACTCGGACCTCTACTGCCTCTTCCGGTGTGCTAGGCATAGCGGAAGTTCCTGCCTTTTGGCGGGAATATTCAGGGCTTGCTTGAATCTAGCCTACCAGCTATGTAGGTACGCCCCCCCCCTAGCTACTCATGACCTTTTTCCTTTTTTGGAATCTACCGGACTCTTCTAAGCCTACCGAACCTCAGCTGGGCCTACCGAGTTGCTGGCTCCTGAGTAGTACTTGCCAAATTCTGCTTATGCCTTGGTCTGTCCTGGCCTTTCTAGAAGTCCCTTTGGTGTCCAGTTTCAGTCCTATCCCCATTGGCTCTCTATCCCAATGTACCCTTCCTGCCACACAGAAAACACAGTGTGAGAACACAGATAGTACACCGCATAGCAAACATCACATAAGAGCGGACAGCAAACAGCGATCTCACTCAGGACACAAAATCTTAGCAAATGGATCCAGCAAGCAGCAATGCGCAGAAAACTGCACAAATCTCAGACTGGTTCCCAGCGGGTCATTGCAGGCACAAGGAAGCTGCTTGACATCGCCAGATCTCACATGCACCGGGATGGTGGGGGATGACAACAGGAGGGTGGACTTGGCTTGGTGTATAAAGGGAGTGACAGCTGGTGGGTGATCCACTGTGCGAGGAGGGGTAAAGGAATTGGGTTAGTAAAGTTGGGCCGGACTTGAAAGAGAGTGAAGTTGTGTTGAAGACACACATAGAAGCTCCAGGACGTCAAAACTTCTCAGAGCAGTGTGCTTGTATGGCTGACCGTGCATATGCAGCAGAGGTGGCATGGTTGGTCTTTTTTCATGAGGTAGTGACATTCACGTGAATTCATCAGGGAAGTCTTACCACCATGGGCAAGATGTGTTTGTCCCATGGCTTTATATGTCAGCTCAAATGGTCAGGTTTGTTCTTTCCTTTTTTCCCTTTGGAGGGCTTAGAATTACTCCTGGTAGTGAGGCCCCAGGGCATCAGCCTGGCACCTTTTCCACCTTTCGGTGTTTCACTCTTCACCACGCTCCCTATGATGGGTAGGGCATTCCTAGCCTTTGCCTGCCGGCAACAAGGGGGTACGAGTCCTGTTTTTTTTTTAGCAAACGGTACTCTTCGAGAGGCAGCATATCCTCCAAGAGGCCCTTGTTCGTCTCTACTCTCTCCGCTGCATAAAAGTGAAAAGAAGGGAGGGGGTGTCATCTGCCTGCTCATCCTGTTGGGCCTTCTTTCGTTGCTAGCCAAAAAAAAAAGGACACCTATCTGTTTAAGATGAAAACTTGACTTGTTGGCTCTAGGACCTCAACATTTGCGTTGTCCACTTGCTCTCTACCCCAAATTTGATGTACCCGTAGCTACATGAGGAGATTGTTATGATGCACAATCGAAAAAAATGGACTGCAGTGTCCATAGTGTTTTCATTCTATAGACCACTAACCATTTAGGTCCCGTTTGCCTCTGTGACGAGTAGAACACCCCGATTGCAGTTTGACCTTGAGAGGGTCACTCAAAAGTTTCTTAGCAACTCACTCGGGTTACTTCATCATTTTTCTATTATTTTTGTGACTGTTTTCGGTGGGGTAGCGTTGTCGAGCAGGTGAGAAAAGGATATATGTGAGAGGAGGATACCTCGGTAATGCAAAACAAGCAAGACTACCAATAGAGAATGCAATTTAGATAGGCAATAATGTCATTGCTGTGAAGTCAATGGTTGATATGGTGATATGTCTATTTTTTTGCTGTGGAAGAATGTGTGGCAAATGAACTACGGAAGATTTTCAAAAGTCAATGTATTGTATATGAGGTGGGAAATATGAGTAAGCATGGCGACACTGTAGTTTTACAGTGTGCTTCTGCTGTTTTGTTGTCAGGAAGGGTTTCTTTATGCGAATTTGTTCAGGAAGCAGTCGTTTGATGAAAGTTAGCACTGGCTTTGTACAATGATGACCTTGTTTGCTTCTTGCTTGATTGCAGCAAAATGCATCGATGAGTATGTATTGTTATCGGTCAAGGCCTCAGAGTCACGGGAGGAGGCACAGCCCATGGACCCAAGACTGGTGGCAATCGTTGAGAGAATGCTTGAAAAGTGAGTAGCACAGAGGACAAGGTTTTCCATCGCATTCTGTTAGCTGACACAGCCTTTGCTATCGCTGTGCTGTGCATCGGTAAATCTACTACCTTCTATTAAAGCTTGTCAGGTCGGGTGTAACGCAGTCCAGTGTAACGCTTCTTCTTCTTCTTCTTCTTCTTCTTCTTCTTCTTCTTCTTCTTCTTCCACACTTTCTCTCTCGCCGCTTCTCCTTTTGAGTTCAGGAAGTCTTGCATTCTCGCACATTTGAGTTTTGCACTGTGAATGTAGTTAGGAACTTAGGATCATTGTCGTTTGGGACACACGCATAAATCGAGAAATGATCCAAATTAAAAAAAAGAAAGGAACTTAGGATCATAACACAGCACAAGATGGTAGAGCCAGCAAACAAGCGTTGTAGAGTGTCACGATTTGCTGGTGACCAAGTCTGAAGAGTTATGTGCCAGAGGATGCACTTTCTTAGAAACTGCTGCCTGCATATGAAGGGCCGTGGGAAGTGGTAGATGTGATAGGAGATGCCTCTACATCAGCGAGTATGCCCTGTGTTCCATGTGTCCGAGCTGTTGCCTGTCAACTCAGACAAGGCATTCCCCTCACGCAGAACCAAAATTTCTACCTGCGATTGACGGAACTATCATAGTGATCGAATGATGGACCGAGACGTACTAAGAACAGGCAGAAGGGGACGACCTCAACAGTAGTATGGAGTTAGATGGGAATATCAGGACCCAGAGGAGGATGGCAACAGTTAAGTGAGCCATCCCAAAGAATAGTCTCACAGTATGAACGAGCAAGAAGAGGACTTTTGCAATGCAGATCCATAAGGAAAGATCGTAGCTTTCCAGGAGGACCTCGACCCAGGTCTCAGTCCGTGTCTCATGTAATCATAGTCCCGACCGGTAGTTCTCATAGGCCCATGCGTACATCAGGTGGTAGGTCAGTCCTGTAGGTTGGCAGGTTAGGAACTCTAGCAGGCCACGCTAGGCCCTTCGGCCCTCAACAAAGCCAAATTCGGCAGTCTGTCTGTCAGTTCAATACAGCTCAGTCCCAGGAAAGTCCATGAAAACTCTAATGTGTTGGAAGCAGACTGCTGCTGGCTGGCAAAGGGAAATATCCGAATTGCGGAACTCCAGCCAGTACAAGGCTATAAGTTACGTTTCTTCCTGTCACGGAAGCGAGCAGCAAGTGAGAGTGAGAGACAGGGTAGCTTAGCTGGCTGCACTTGTTGCCAGAGTGAGTAGCACTGAGAGATGAAGGTCAAGTGGGAGAGAAAGATAGAGAGGAAGCCGTTTGGAGATTGATGCCTGTGTGTAGGTGTGGGTGTGGGTGTGTTAGAGGGGGGGAGGGGAGAGAGAGAGAGAGAGAGAGAGAGAGAGAGAGGCTTGGTTGACATAGCTTCCCGAGCTTGCATACAAGAGGCATTGTATAAGACTTGAATTCTGGAGTGATTTCCAGAGTGTTCACATATTGTGTCATTGTGCATCTCGTGTGTGTGAAGCCTTGTGTGATAGAGCAAGAAGTACTGATGTTGTAAAGCAGTGTGTGAATCATGGGATCTGGCACTAATGACTTACTGCAGTGACCTTGCCAGCCTCTTGAGCGAAACCTTTGCCAGTTGTAAGGCGGAGGAAGTGCAGAATCTCAGTCCGTGCAAATTTCGATTTATCAGGATTGAGATTGTACTTGTGCTCGGGGAATTTCCGCATCACAGTCAGAGGTGTGCCTTGTGTTCTTTTGGAGTCTTACTGAAAATCACTCTACAGCGAATTTGTTCAGATAGTCGATGAGGATTTTATTCATAGCGTGGTGAAATGTTGCAGGGGCAATAGCCAGACCAAATGGCTTTTAAAAGCCATCTTATGTTGATCCTCCTTATGAATCTAACTCTTGTACCCAGGTTTGAGCTCAATCTCGTAGAGGTACTTATATCCAGGGGGCGGTGCCTGTGTGTTTCTTTCACGTGATCTCATTCAAACCTGCGGTAGTCAACACAGACCCAACTTCTTTTGTGCAGAGAGAACAAGTGCCCATACTAAAAAATGCTAGGGCGTATCTAGTCCTTCTGTCTATAAGCTATTGGATCTGCTTGTACAGTTCCTCTAACTCTGAGGCGATATCCTGTGGATCTTTCGTTCTGGCACCTGATTGCCAAGGATGACCTGGATTTTGTGCTTGATGTTCTGGGACTCCGTACCCACTGGCTTTTCGTGCGTGTCTATGAATTCATTCAATAGTGCCTTGATTGAACGAGGATGTTTTGGTGGGGGGACTCCTCATTCTTTCCCACAACATCCATGGAAGTCGGCAGCGAAAAGGAGGTGCACGTGTGAGTCCAGTATGATAGTTGATTGCAAGCATGTCTTTCTTGTTCGCATCTGCAATTCATGTAGTTCCGCTATTGGCGCATGGCTGTAAACGTCAGGATTAATCTTCTTTGACCGTCATCTTATACCGAGGACAAGGCTTTAGAAGGAAGACCAGGCAAAGTGTGGAAGTAAAACAGGAAGCAAAACCTGCACGTCTTTGTCGAATGCGACTGGAATTCCTTTGAGATCCCATTTGCAAGTTGATATTCCTTTGTGCTGATTTCATTACGGATGCTTTCGTTTTGTTCTTTAAGTCTCTGTTGACGAATCAGGAAAGCGTAGTCCCGTCCACCTTGGTTGGTTGGGAATCCTGCTGTTGCTGCTCTATGTGAGTGTTCGATCCATGCATTTACTGAGCTGGCTATTCGGAGTTGTGCATGTTTGAAGCTGTTCTTTTGCCACCATGTTCCATCCAGTTGGTATCCAACAATGAGGACCTTCTCCAATCCTTTCACATGGTGTATGATGTTGGAGGACTCACCAAATTGTTTGTACGTTCTTGTTCATTTCTAGTAGTGCACGATCTTTGTTGGATGAATCGATGAGGACCTTCTCCAATCCTTTCATTCAGTGGTGTATGTTGTTGGAACACACCGAATTATTTGCATTTGTTTGTGCATTTCTAGTGATGCAAGATCTTGTTGGATGAATCGCCTAATTCACTGTGTGGGTTTGTTGACTTGTCTCTCGAATTGTTGGTAAAGGTGTCTTAAAGACAAGCAATTCCAGCAAGCAATCGGAATAGCCCTGGAGTGCCACCGCCTTGACAAGCTGGAGGAGGCAATACTAAAAAGTGATGATGTCCCTGCTATGTTGCAGTATACATTGAGAGTGTCGCAGACACTTGTCAATCGGCGAGAGTTCAGGCGTCAGGTCGGTCACAAGCACTTTCCCAACATGTTGTCTTTTGTAAGCTGCATTGGCAATCTGATCAATTTCTTCTGAATCAGGCTCTTTCAATGTCCAGCTAGGTCGCTCTTTGGAACTTAGCAGTCAGTTGTTGTGGAGCAGTTCTCATCGCCCATGTCAAATGCTGAAGTTGCTCTGAGGTTTTTGCGATGTTCTCTACAGCAGAGCGTAAGTGGTCTATGAGCAACGCACTGTTCCTCGATGACCGACTTTGAAAGAGTATGTGCCGATCGGGGGATCCGTCAGCATCGAGCAGAGTCTGCTGATGTGCGTAGGGGAGGGGACCTGACGGGAGGCACAGGGATTGGTCCTGTTGGCATGGTCCCTGATGCTACCGACTGTCCCCTGGCCAGTATCGCCCGCCTGCAGATCGGGAGCAGCCCCTGCATGTTCTCTTGTGAACACGGTTCTGGCTGCTACGGGGTTCCCCGTATGACTATAATTAGGAGTAGTGGTAGGTAGGTAGTGTGAGGTGAAATTGAGAGAAGAATGTAGCTTGCTTTATAAAAAACAAGCGGGCCCGCCGCAATGAAGCTGCGACGCACTCGAGGGGCGCGAGCATAGCCTCAGGAGTAGCTGCAGGCAGGTACACCTGGACAAAATGAAGGGTGACATGCCCAAATCGAAAGTCGGGGGGAAAAAGAAGAAATAAAGGGCATACTCACACTAGTACTTTTCTAAATGCATCTGACTGATATTATGCACGGAATTGAATGCATCTGGCGACAATCACGTCCAGAGCTTAGAAGAGAAAGTCCCAGTGTGAGTATGCCCTGAGAGAAGAACACAGCCCATGGGGGGGGAAAAAGAAGAAATTGAGGGCATACTCACACTAGTACTTTTTTTCTAAATGCATCCGACTCCTATTACGCACAGAGGTGGATGCATGTGGCGGCAATCACATCCAGAGCTTAGAAGAAAAAGTCTGTGTGAGTATGCCCTGAGAGAAGAACACAGCGCAGTTTAAAAAGAAAAAGAAGACGTGAAGTCTGGCTATGGAAAAAAATAAATAAGAGTCTGCCCACTACTCTCCAAATGAGCAAAATGAGAATGAATTTCCGCTAGAACATGGGAAGATACCACACAGTACTCACGGCATGCACAAATGACAGAAAATATGGAGGTGTATCTTCCCGTGTTCTTTGCGTGTTCTAGCAAAAGATTCAGTCTCATTGGAAAAAAGAAAAAAAAAAGAAGTGAAGTATGCCCACAATGACCCAAAAAAAAAGGGTCTGCATACGATGTACTTCGGGGCCTTGACACACTACTCAGCAAATGGGCAAAATGAGAATGAACCTTCGTCTGGAACATGGGAAGATACACCACAACATTTTCGTGCTCACCTCATGCATGAATGACAGGAACCATGGCGGTGTATCTTCCCATGTTCCAGCGGAAGATGCATTCCCATTTTGCTCATTTGGTGAGCAGTGCCTTGCGAATCACGTGCACCGGGGACCAAAAACAGCAGAAACACTGTGCCCCTCCAAAGAAAAAAACGAATCTACTGAAAAAAAATGACGAATCTACAGGTCTAAACGTTGTTGCACTATGGAGAGATACACCGGGTCAGAAAACGACAAAAAAAGTGAATCTGCGTAAACGACACAAGAAAAGAAGGACAAAGCATCTACATGGCTACACGCTACACTATGTACTTGAATTCGAATATGCGCCTGCAGGCCAAAGCCAAAAACATCAAGCGCCTTTGCGCTTGGGCCAGCCCCTGTCCCACTGTTTTTTCCCAAAAACGGCAGCTGGGCCTCCCAGGGGTGTCACTCGAGACCTGGTGCACGCTTCAGTAAGAGTATATATACACCACAGACATTGGTGAGGTTCTCAGGCTGGTTTGTTGGATGCTGGCCAACACTTTGCAGATCACCTAGATGGTGTTGCAAGCCCAAACTGTGTTGGGTTGTTTGCTGGTCGGTCATTTGCAGATCACCCATGTGGTCTGCGTGTGGCGGAGCACAAAATTGTGGTTCATCCGAACAATGCTGGTCAGCCATTTGCATTATTCGGATGAACCACAATTTTGTGCTCCGCCACATGCAGACCACATGGGTGACCTGCAAATGACCGACCAGCAAACAACCCAACACAGTTTGGGCTTGCAACACCATCTAGGAGGGATTGGAACATGATCTGCCCGGTAAGGGAGACAAACGAGGGGCTGTGGCAAACTGTTTCGTCGGAGTTTCACTGACTCGTCAGGAGAAAGAGTACGTGCCTGGAAACCGACCAGCTGCGGTGACTGGTTCTATTTCAGGCAACAGACTGGAGATTCCGTGACTGCCTGGGGATGCCTACACACAGAGTTCTTCACATAGGGAGATGATGATGATGATGCTTTCATCATGGCAATAGCAACAACTAGAGTCTTCAGCCGAAGATAACGCCTGGGTATTATATTCAACTAACCATAAAAAGTCGAAATTTTGTTTCTACTCACTTTTGTGAGTGTAACGCCCCATTGAATATAATGCCGGGGAATAGAACACCAAGGCTTCACATTTGAATGTGGCATGGGCCGAGTGCCTTGTAGAGGGGGAGGGAAGGGGAGTCTATCGCTCTCGCCCATATTCCTTGCATGGGTTTCTAAGGGGGTTGAAAGGCGTTTCGACTTCCAAGGGGTATGCTTTGGTTTGTTTGTTTGTTTGTTTGTTTTTCCCCGAATTTGCGAGTAAAAAGTTGGTTTCATTGCAGCTCTAGATAACTTTTTATTTTTCAAACAGAATATTTTGATTTTATTTTCTTTGTTTTTTAATTTTGGGCCCCCACCAAAGTTGCTACCAATTTACTGAATATAACGTGGTAACTGAATATAATGTTCGCCAGACGTTATATCCGTATACAACACCTGGCTGTTATTTTCGGGTTGAGATGGTAGGCATAATAATGCAAGGAAAATGAGCAATAGCTAAATGACAGAATTCGAGATTGCAAATCACACCGAATGCCAGGTAGTAGAAAACTGTCCAGAAACAGAAACCCCAGGGAACAGTGCAGGGCAACGCTGACAGAATTCGAGATTGCAAATCACACCGAATGCCAGGTTATAACGTGCATTTCTGTCCAGAAAGCAGAAACCCCAGCGAACAGTGCAGGGCATGTTATAACCTGGCATTCGGTGTGATTTGCAATCTCTGCCTCACGACCGCGCTCGTGTTCATGCAAAACCCCAGGGAACAGTGCAGGGCAACGCTTGCAAGTGTCTCCAAAATGAGAACATGCCGTGCACCTCGTGCGCAGCGCACCGCCGAAAGTAGGGGATGGTTGTCAAAAGTGGAGGCAGGGTGTGGCGGGGCGCTGCCCCTTCCCTCACAAAAATGTAAGTTGACGAGAGTTCCTTTTAGAGCGCTTAGCAGCAGCCCCTAAAATTTGTGTGTGTGTGTGTGTTGCTATCTTGAATGCATACGAGCTATCTTTCAGGCCCGACACGGTCATAATGAGGGTGCATTGTGTTATCCAAAACAAACCTTTTTCATTTTTGCAAGTAACAAGTCACCAGCGTGCCACGGCACATTGAGTGGCCAGAGAGAGGGTCGTGTTCATGTTTGCACGCCATTCACATGTTCAGTTCTCTCTCTCTCTCTCTCTCTCTCTCTCTCTCTCTCTCTCTCTCTCTCTCTCTCTCTCTCTCACACACACACACACACGCACACACATGCATGTGCACAGCGCTGTGTGGAGCGGCTGATCGCATCCAGAGTGTGAATGTGCCCCAAGCCGGAGATGTTGGAGTGCGAGTATGCTCTACGTAAATGGCTCGCATGACCTCTTTTTCCTTCCTTACATTTGGACCATATCATTTTTTTTTTTATAATGTGGCCCGATGGACCACGGATCAGATTCATATACTAATCTTATCTTATTGTTTCAATGCCAATGGATATCCCGAAGGACCAGGTTATATATATTTTTTTGGGGGGAAAGAAACCGTATTCGTCTTTGCTCGTCTTTCGAATGTTTTGTGCACTCTCTCTCTCTCTCTCTCTTTCTCTTTGTCTCTCTCTCTCTCTCACACACACACGCACAGAGATGCATGTGGGCAGCTCTCGACTGGTCGTATCCACGGTGTGAGTGTGCTCCAATGCCCCAAGTGAAGAAGTGGGTGTAAAAAGAAAAGAGAATGAATCTTCTGCTAGAACATGGTAAGATATGGCGCCATATTTTCTGTGTCTGTGGTGAGCAGCGGAGAGAGGCCCTCGACGATGTGCTATGTAGTTGAATTTGAACATGTGGAGCACGCGGACGGCGACGAGGATAACGGGTCGGGATGCATCCGAGCGTTCTACGGGCCTCGGTCCGCTACTCTCGACATGCACGACATACACAAAATATATCTTTGTATCTACCATTCTTCTACAGAAGATCTGCCCTCATTTTCCACCTGTGTACTTGTTTGGCACACATAAGCAGCTTACGTGAGGAGCTTACGTGATCTTTGAATTTTTTTTGTAACTACACTATATTCTTCTCTCAAATTCTTTTTGCCTTTCACGACCTACCTACCTCTACTCCTAAAGCTATATAGGAGCCCCTGCAAGCAAAGGGGGGGAAAAAATATTTGGCAGCTGTCACCTCGTGATTATTAAAAAAAAGGACAACGGAGTTTGAAATCCAGACGTGCCAGCTGTCAGTACCAAGAAAAGAAAGGCCCTGGGTCTACTATGGGCCTCCCTCCACTGCTCTCGATATGCACAAAAGACAAAAATCCTGGAGGTGCGTCTTTCCATGTTCTACAGAAAGATTCACTCTTGCGGGGCGAGGCCCTATGTACTTGTATTCGAACATGTGGCCAGCTGGCACCACAATCCGACAAAAATGGGCGCATCCTAGCTCCTCGTCATTTAAACCACCGGTACCTCGCCCAGCGTGAAAAAGCCGATGCGGCCGTTAACGCGCCGCGTCGGGCGGGGTACCCACCTATAAACGACTGATATTCCCCAAAAAAGGGGCCC